GTAAGCAATTAAAAACAGCCTGCGTCGCGACACGACCTGACACGCCCGTGTCACAGGTCGTGTCACGGGTCGTGTCAGGTATACTGCCTTCGTATCCTTCTGTTGACGTGATACGGGTGGTGACACGACCTCGGAGCCCGTGTCACGAGTCGTGTCACACCCCAGCATGCTCATCCTTGGCTCGTTTCTCTCGTTTCTTCTATGTTCTTCATCCGTGCATCGATCTATCATCATCCCGGGGGTCTTAGGCACTCACCATGCTCCTCCAATAGCCAAAGCTCTAGAAATATATGAAAATATCTACAAAACGAGCACGTGTAATACCTTTCCAACAAATATAGAATTAAAAGCACAAATATGCAATTTATACACCAATAATGCAACAAATAAGCTCTAGACTCCCTATAAATATGGTGTAAAATCACACATGAACACTAGGTGAAAACAAAGCACAACAAAACAGAAATAGAAGAAAGAAAGCCAGCCCGAATGCCCGATTGCATGCACAAATCACATCCAAAACAGCAACATTATCACGATACTCAACAGTATCAATGGATCTGCTGCTCCCGAAGAACATAAGCCTTGTTCACTGTCGGAAGTAAGTTTTTCCTTGCTCTTTTACTGTCCTCTTTAGCTTTAATTATCAGAACTCAAGTGAAGATTATCCTCTCAAACACTGAAATCTTTACAAGAAGATGTTGCTCCGTTCCATGTGATTTTTCAATCTAACACATATCTTGTTATTAGTCTGAAGTTTCTTCCACATATTTATATCCAAGGGTGTTTGTATGCCTCATTAGATGGTTGTGACCACTTTGAGAGAGCATTATTTGCACCTGTAAGTCTTCTTATTGATCCCTCGTTCCATCCTCCGTATGTTTAATGTCTTGTCTTATTGTCATAAATCTAAAGCCTATTAAAAATGAACTGAAGAGTTGTGGTCAACTGACGCATATTCTCTGACACTGAAATTACATGTTTGTTCATGAGCCTTAAACCTTGATTTCCCCATATAGCGCCAAAGCATGATTTTGCTGAATGTGTATTTTACAATGTTTTCCGAGAGATACCATCATCGTACGAGATGCTGGGTGATGTTTTTTTCAACTTTTAAGTATGAAACAAATTTGGAATGTTATGCAAGAAAGAATGCACCAGATGCGAATTTTGTGGTTGCAAGTATATATATTTAGAGTAGTGATTCCAACTGCTTTAACTGAGGGTCAAAGTTTTCAGGTGCTAAGTCGTCTCCAGGGGCCAAGTACGCATCGGCCATGGCCTTCCCCTTGTCCAGCACATCAGCTGGAACGGTTTTGAGAAGGCTGCGAAAATAACAAAGGTTATATATTACCTGTGCTTATCATATCTCACTTGTCTAGAAGAAATGACAAATGCCGTGAAACCATATTCGATAATCAAATTAGTCGTTCCATAACAAAACTGAAAATTTAGTTTGACAATGGATAATCTTTGGTTCTGTATTTATTGGTATTTGTTAAAATTAAGAATCTTATTACTTTTAATAATTTTTTTCCTTCGTTGTCTTTTATCCGAAAAATGTAATACTGAAATAAGAATAAAAATGACAATAATAAAAGCAAAGATAAGGCAATGGCAATTAGGATCATTTTACCTGTTCAATGAGTCGATGGTGGTGGTAACTTTCAGTTTCATAGGTTCAACTGTGGCCCCTGAATCATTTCTTGATGCCCGCAAAAGCAGAGAATCAAGTTCTTCCAAGGCCCTACAGAGTACTTGCCACAAAACCAATAGACACACTACATTAAAGCATTTAAATTTCTCTGATCTATTGACATTTAACAGATTTGTTATTTCAATAGAGTATTGCACCCAAGTCAAAAACTCCACAATAAAAGAAACAATACCTTAGGCATCGATCAACCTCGTCAAAAGCATATTTGCCGTTTCCTGCATCAGAGGCATATTGTGCTACCTGCATTATGACAGTCGAGAAACATTTTTATGAATGCACAATTAAGCACGTTAAACGATAATACCATCAGGAAGTCAATTTGAACTCCTTTTTAATCTCCCAAAACTAAACAGTTAACTTACTGAAACAACAAAGCTGGATTATTTTCCATGATAATTTCCATCGAAATGATTTTATCCAAGGACGTGCATCGAATTAGCTTATAGATGGAAAATTGAGAGATGAGTAGATTAGATGGAAATGTAAGAGATGAGTAGTTAGGTAATTATCGACTTACTGCTCGAATATTAATACGCAAAGATGCTGCAGGACCAGACCTTAAAAAGCTCCGGCAGTCAGCAAATTTAGGTTGATCAACTTCAAGATATTTCCCTGCAGTAGAAGAAGTAACTCATGAAGATAAATGATAGATCCTGCAATTGCCGTTTTTCTAACAACATTAACATGAAAATAAAAAATCATGAGACTTTTTAAGCTTTATATCGTCACTCTTCGTTTTTGGCCCAAGTCAAATCAGTTACTGCAGAAATTAGCCCAGGATCATTACCTAATTCCTTGATCTGCAACTCGGTCAATATGACTGCTGGTATGTAAGCCTCTAGAGGATCAAGCTTCTTCCTAGTAGAAGCTTGTAGAAATTATTAGCAATTCAAATAACAAAACAATCACACATTAAAAAACTATCCCAAGCAGTATCGAGGAGTCAAATTTATTCTTAGCTAATTATCAAAAAGAAAAGAAAGAACACTAAAAGGTTCCAGTTCAACTCATAATAAGATCAAGGACAAACTAAAGCGTCACTTGTTTTTATTCGATCAGCAGAAAATAATATGGTATTCTCATCATAAGCACAATGTGGAACGAACATAAAGCAAACCATCCCTCCGAATTAAAAAAAGGGAACCGCTGGTTTCAGAAATACAAGTCTCATACTCGAACCTAAATCACAATCTGATGTGAATCCACATTTACACAGCACAAATCCTCCAGGGCATATAATTTTGAAGGGAGGGCCATAATCAGCTCAAGTTCATGCTGCAAATCATCGTGCTACTTGAACGGTATCTACCATAATATCCGAACACCAAACAAAAACTACCAAAACCTTTTGGAACTTAAACACAGGCAACTAAAGTAAATTCAAATCATACTTCTTCACATATTTGTCCAACATGCTGGCGCCATTAGCATCTGCAGCCATCAAATAAAGCAACTCAGAGCACAGGCAAAGTTAATGATAATCCAAACACAATATCAAACGAAATGAAACACAGAACCGAAGAAAATCGAGCATAACTCGATTGGCAATCAGAAATAGGGGGAAAAGTCGATGCACTTTTCGGCTCAACTCAATGAGTGTCAAATTCACCATACAAGCGTATATAAACACAGGAAAACTCAAGCATACGCTCGTATCATTTGGTGTGGCAGCATTGAAAATGATAGAGACGCACCTTTGGATAGAGAGAAGAAATGGAGAAAAACAAGCGATATAGAGATCGATCGCCGGCTGTCGCGCCTCGTCTCATGGAGAACGGCGCACTTCACTCTGCAACTAAAATTGACTCGCGATGGCCGCACGGAGAATCTAGGGAGGCGCGAGAAAGGAATAACTGAATAGCGGCAGCCGCTACTAATGTGCGCGGTGGCGGGAACGGCGGTGGTGGTCATCTCGCGGGCCGGAAAGTAATTTAGGGGCGAAACTGTTCGGGGTTCTTATCCAGTCGTTGCTAGTGACGAAATTGAAAAATGTATATTACGATTTTATCCCTGACTGGATGCCCAATCACAAACGTCACCGAACGTTAGCACTTAGGGTGTCTTTTGACACGTATAATAAGCTAGCTTATAGCTTATTTGGTTAGCTTATAAGCTTTCTGTATCAAATAAGTCCCGTTTGGTAGGACGAGCTTATTTAAAAAGCTCGAGCTTATTTGATAAGCTTGTTTAGGTAGCGTTTCAAAATAAGCTAGTTGACTTTTTTATTTCAGCTAGCTTATAAGCTAGTTTTACCAAACACTTTTATCATACAAGCTAGCTTTTCAGCTATAAATCATAAGTTATAAGCTATAAGCTAGCTTATAGCTTATCAGCTACCAGCTAGCTTATAAGCTATCAGCTAGCTTATCAGCTAGGTTTACCAAACACACCCTAAAGCGTAGAACGTGAAACCAGCATCGGAAGTGAAAGGGGTAAAACGGTAAAAGTATTTTCTTCATTTTTTTTTATTACTAAAACACATAATTACAATTGGCTAACTAGCCAGAATAGAAAGACTACCCAAGTCAGCCTAGATATCATAACACATACTACAAGAACAAGAAAAATAAAAAGCTCTCCACATGAGAAAACGCAATCTCCCACTGGAGAATACACAAGCTACCGAAAGAAGAATAACACACTCTTCCAAAAGGAGAGAACAAAACACAACTCACGAAATAAAACACCAACAAGAACCAGCTAACAAAAAAAAAA